AAACGAAAATATAACGTCATTTGAATTAACGCGGTTGTAGTAACAAGATTTATATTCGCATAGAGGGTTCCTTTAATTAATTAACTTTGAGTCGTTATACATTTATTTTACTACCATCTTGATGTTAGCAGTATTGTAAAGCCGGCAGGGAAAGATAATTTATAGGTGTTCCTATCGCTGGCTCAAAAAATTGTTAATTAATTTTATTTTAACTAGATTTTCCTTCGCTGCGAGTGTAATTTGATTACAAATGAAAATTCATAGCCCTTTATTGGCCGTGAATAATTAATAATAATGTAAAATTGTTAGGCGTAATAGATAAATTAACATTGATTGTTCATTTGATGTGTCTATCAGTTGAAATAAAATCAGGACAACTGTAATGGTGTTTTACCGACGCATTTGACCGTAAACGTTGATTTGTTAAACAAAGATATATTTTCATTTGGCTCTAATGAACTTTCACTCTATATAAGACCAATGGCAATTAATCTCAATTATTGAAAGTAGAGAACAGAACGCTTAAAAACGCTCGTTAGTCGAAATAGAGTAATTTTCAGCTTTAACAAAGAGACTTCTGCAATTAATAAATTATTTGCAAATAACATAGATGTGCCATAAAAGTGATATATTTCTAGAGAGTAATAGAGCCAATGATGAAGCCTACAGGCAGTATCCAATTTTACGACAGATAAATATTAGGGTGTATAGTTAAGGTTACATTATTTGATATTTAAAACAGTAATAAATTTAATTGATAGTTACTTTTGATTAAAACCATTATGGAGATAATCTGCCAATATACGACCCTACATAAATACCTCTCACCTTTCTTCCGTAATAGCTCCTAATGGTTTCCCTATTCTCCTAATTTATGGCGGTCCAATAATGCCCTTAATCCACCAATAAGATCCAACCCTCTCAGATAAACATTTACCTATTTTTTTTAATTTTCTCATTGCAATTATACGAACGGATGAGCGCGGGTAATATAAGAGAAAAAGTAAAAGTAAATAATTTTGGAAATAACGTTCGAAATAAATAAGTAAGCACCCGCGTATGTAAAATCCAACCCTGTTAGAGCAACCGTATTTCTGCGTCGAGAGAAATGCACGGTTTTTTTTATCTCGTAACTTGTGTGCGGCTTAAAATATCAAGAAATAAATAATAAATGGGCAAAAGAAATAGCACTACATTCGGATGCCACCGAAATACGCACTAGTATCTTTTATCACTGCAAAAACCGTAATAATCGCTGGAAGTAATGTATTATACAGCTCCGAGCTCTCTCCTTCTTCTACAACTTCTGCATTCGTTATCAGCAATAATCACCCAAGGAAATTGTAAATTGAGAAATATCATTTTGAATTTTACAAAAACGATTTCGTTTTAGATTCAAAAATTGATATGATTCAACTCTTTCATTACAGTTCTTCGGTATCGTTTCCGCATTTCCCATTTCACACTAACCGAAAATAGTTAACACTAATTGGATAATATTTTCATTCGCTGTGTTATTTCGTCTCCTCCGACAGGATGATCCGAGTTTAAACTGTGGTAATCACCGAATCAGTTTACTTTAAGCGCCATTGCGGAAAGAATTCACTAGAGTTGAACATTCAATTAATGTAATCCGTTTAAATCTGGAATACGTAAACTCTGTTTGACCTGTATAGCCTCTATTGCGATTTGTATTCACCTCTATCTATCGTTTCTCCGCATACGATTCGAACCGTCAGAATTATCAGTGTCTGCTTGTTTTTATTTTTTTCCTATGTTTGCCCCGCTGACAGCGCTCGGTTTACTTTCCACCGCGAAAATTAACACAGCATCGCGTTATCAGAATTTTTATATTTCGAACACGCAGTTATTGGGTGGTTAGTTTGCGTTTCGTAATTATGAAAATCGCTCTCGACCGCACGGGAAAAAGGTCGGAAAAGGTTCGGGCACTTTTACTGATTTAATTCTTCGAATGTTCATATAAAAATCCCCCGTATAAAGTTTTCCTAATGCTCAGTCGTGGAAAATTAAATGTATGCTAGGATGGGTTTTTCAGTTGTCGGGGCTAACATTTAGGCTCTCGTCGGAGTCTTTTGGTTTTACATCCTCTAATTCGACAACATTTATTTATTTGGTTAGTATAATGTACGGGGTAAAATTGATAAAAACATTTTCCAGAGAATGTATTTAGGTAGAGCTTAGCAATTTTTAGTTCGCCTTAAACCATTGCGGCATACATTTCCTGCTCCCCTTTTGCTCTTATTCCCTAATGTATACTTCCTCTACACCCTCTTATAATATCTAACATCCGCAATGATGCAACCTACTTGATTCCGTTTGGCTAAACTCTGTGCTTTTACACGCTAACCACTCGCCCGAATATTTATATTTTCTCTATTACAAAAACACTATAGGAGGTTTCCGCTAGTCTCCCTAAAAAGTGCAGGCCGTAGTTAATGAAAGTACCTTTGATGAAATCGAATTAGGCTCCATGCGAAAGAGGTGCATAGAGGTGTCGGTCGACGGAGAGGCCGCAGAGTCGCAAAGCTCTAAATTCATAACTCTCAGTCTTGATGTTCATCGACACATTCGTATTAATTTAATCAATGGCCCTTACGTGCTTACCAATTCCGAACGTCAGCAGGATATTCGTAATAGATAATTTAATATGTGTGCCGGCACTTGTGTTTCGGTTTAAATTAATTTCCATACCTTCGTGTAAATATGAATATTTTATAAATTCTGCACAACAGTGCCGGTGTTGTTACTAGCAAAGTGAAATAATCGCGTGGGGTTGTTTTAAAATTAAATTCAATTAGGTATGAGAGATTCGGTTTTTTTATAAATTTTTACCTCGAGCTGGATTCGTTTTCGCGTACAAGAACGTAAAAGTCGACGCTAAAAAACAATCGTAAACGAAATGGGAAAGAGGTGAAAAAAAATTAACTTGAAAGTGTCTGAATCAATAAAATATTTATACCTTAATTTGATACGCTTTTACCTTTAAAACGGTTTTGTACTTTGTGCGCACCTGCACCATCGTTTCTCCTCATTTTTATTCAGTTATTTAGTTATCATACTCATATATCATGCATTGAATTCTGATACAATAAATTGCAATGATCAAAACAAATTTGAAAGAAATTTTGGAAAATAGTAGCAATTCTTCTATGAAATGCGTTTGTACCAATTACTTGCGGAAACTTAGATAATATTCCCAACGTAATCTTCCGTTTCAAAGTAGCCATGAAACTGTCTCTCGTGTGAAAAGTTGCCTGTTCCTTCTGCATCACTGACCTCTTGTATTTGAACAACCGCCAGCTGATACATTTGTCAGGCTCAAAACATTTTTCAACTCCGTATACTTATATAGCGTAGGAAAAAACTATATATGGCGTTATTCTTTTCAGGAGGAGTAGGACCTTTTTATTTCTTATTTATAGCCGAGTCCCTTATTTTTGACAAATTCAAGGAATTGTTTCGTTTTATAAAAATTGCAATATTCATGCGTTTGAAATATTTTTATTACAGATGTATGTAAAGTTTCAGTAATTAAAAATCAATTTGACTGATGTTTATATGAATAATCAACTTGTTGAAAATAAAACAATGAAACAACCACATAATAAAATAAATTTTTACCTGCAATTTTTTTATAAAAACGAACATTTTGTGAAAATTAAATACAAAGCACCAATTGTTGTAGATAATTTATACGTTTGTCAATGACTATTAGTAATTGTAAATCATTTTCATATGCTAATGGCAGGCCTAAAATAAATATTGAACTGCAGATACACGTTCATACATATGACAAATTTACATAATTACAAAATATAAATTTATTTATTTTATTAATATATCACCCCATTTCATATTTAATTGCCCCCAGTTCACATTGACAGCTATATTATTAACTGCTTTATTGTCACAGTATTCAAAATGTTTATACCAAAAATAAATGAATAATTTACGAAGGGAAATTAACAAAATTATTTCAATTGGTATGAATATCAAAAATTTGATATATAATATACCCCAGTAAATCATGTATCGATTAACGAAAGGAAATCTAATTTAATAATGTTTTTAAATACCCAATGTTAATAAAATTGCATGGAAATCAATATGGCAAGCAAAAGTGCAAGTTTATTTTATGGTGTTGTATTACCAGCAAAAAAAGAGATTAAAATGTATTATAAGATGTCAATTTTTAAGTATATCCATAATACAATTTGGTTAAATTATTAATGGAGAAAAAAAGGTGAACTTAAAATTAATTTAATGTGAAAAGGGACCGATAAAATATAAATTTTCCGAAGAGGCCGGTGCGATATTTGATACAAAGTTCACAATTTTCTAAAGAACGAACTTTATCGATTGCAAACGAGCATGAAATACCACAATAGGATGTATTTTTATTTAAACGGCCATACGTTGTGAATTCACTTAACAGTTCTCCGCTCTTTTTACTGAATAAATCAAGTTTATAGGAGTACATCCCATAATATCGGGCGGTAGCAAAATTTCTCTTCGCCGTAAATTGAAGGACTAAGGCGTTAAAAAAGGGCATCCACTTATGTAAACAATATATTCCAAGTGTATAAAGTATTAGTGAGTAATATCTCAAAGTAATTGCTGAATTAAACTGTCCTATTAAAATAAGTTATGTATGAACTAGGAAATTACGAAATCCCCTTAAATATAAGTAGTATCTCTCCATTAACAATGTACTTCGGGCGTTTAATTTATGCATACAATGTAAATATCTTAGATAAGCAGAGACGCACCGACTGCAAAATGTAATTCTTACGATGTGTAAAGTTATGAAGACTGTCAAGCTTAAGCAAAATTTTCATTTTCATGCCATTTAACCCCCTTCTCGAGCACTCTACAAAAAGCGTTACGGAAACGTCGAGGAGAGAGTTTTTTATGAATTCACAAAACAACAAGAGTAATTTTACTCGACGGAATAAGGAAACTAAACGGCTAGGACTTACCTTATAAGTTCCTAGATTTTCAACGACGCAAGGCAAACTGGCGTCTCTTCCTAACGCTACTGTTACGTTGGGAATTGGCTCCGCGAATCGAGGATCATCAGTCATGGCTGAAAATAAAATATTTTTTTTATTCTAGGTACATTTACTTATACACCGTTTTAATACCGTAAGGAATTTGACATAGAGCAGTTTAAATAATTTCAAACGAAGAACCTTTAAATTAAATTTTCCGAATAAAAATGAAATCCCCCAATATTCCCAAGCACCGAATGCATTATCGATATTCCTTGCAGTCTGAAGCTTGATATATCGCCGCTATGTGTAATATTCTCATAGGAAAATTCTGCCATTTTTGTGTTTTACACATGTCTCATATATTTCAAATCGACATATCACATATCTTTTAGAATACGTAATATTTTTTTTTCTAAAATCCGATTAATTATTAAAAGACATTATTGTCGTAATCTTATGTAGTTCAATACTCATGCAGTTATAATTTATTCAAATTGAATCCATAAACAAGCAGACTTTCATATGAAATTTAATAAAAAAAATTATTGTATATGCAGAAAGTTTCCTCTCCTAATCTAGTCAGAATCTGTGACTTGCTTTCAAACATTTTGTTGTTTCGCCTCTCGCCCATTATGTGCTGTAGTGCTTTCGAAAATCTCAGCGGATTTAAATAATAAATGATTTCGGACTGTTTGCGTTTCAAAACAAGTTAAAGTCATCCGAATATTTCGCGATCAATGTGACTTCAGTTCAGTTTTCAGTCTTTTTGTGCGGCGCTGAAAATTCGAATTTACATTGAACTATATTCGAATTGAATGGGAGAGATCGTATCGCTGACGTGATGAATATCGCTTAATAATTTAACGATTTACGGATATTAAACTTGAAATAATCTAGATTTTTCCTAAACGAATGGTATTCGATTTAAATCTTAATTAATCGTAATTTCGTATGTCGAATTATTTCACGGCACACAAAAAATATACGAAGCGTTTTATACGGAATATGCTTTAAATTTATTTAATTGAAATTGCCTACGTTTGAAGCAATTAAATCTGTCTTGAACATTGATTTATACTATACGTAAAGTGGCTTTTATATAACACTAAGGTTGTTATTTATTTCATGGATTGTTCTAATTTTTTGCGTTGAGAAATGCAAATCATTGGAGCCAAGAATCGGCGTTTGTAACGGGATAGTACAAAAAATGGAGTCGCTCGAAATTACTCCTTTGCCTTCTAGTTTCGTTAGCGTTCAAAACCCCGGAGGTATGTAAAATATTCCGTTGAAAATAAGCACCCGTAAACGTTTGGCGCGGCAAACACACGCCCTTTGTCATCAAGTGCGTCAAGCAGTGTATTAAGCCTGTCGACAAAGCCGTGCGAATGTCGAGGCGATGGAGTAAGAGACACACCTCGAAGAAGATTATCCTCTAACGCCATTAGCCTGGAAATAAAAACCGCGAGAATGTTTTGTTTCGGCCGCCCGATAGCTCAAAGCAAGGAAAGGGAGGAAATGACGAGCTCTATTTTGATGACCGGCTAATCCGGTAGGAGTGCGGAACCTGAAATTACACGGGGCGCTGGATTGCCCACATACGTCCTTTATCGTGTATTAATTAGACGCGCAAATATATTTTTTTGTGTTCGATAACTCGGGAAAGTCGATGATAAATATCCGCCGGTGGAAGTTTCGTAGCAGTCGGATCGAAAGAGAGCGTATAATAATTATGATAGTGATGCATCATCAAAAAACTTTCTGTAATCCTTACAGACAGAAGAAAACTGGAACGAGCTATTTTCCCGTTTATTGTGTTCCTCATGAGTGCGCTTTTCTGTACCGGTGGTCCTTTCTTTGAAAGTTTGCATGAAACCCCTAGAATGTGAAGGCCTATTCTAGTGGAATAAATAGGTGAATCTTTTTTTTTCAAGTGTTTCGAGAACATTGGATTTTCCTTCAAGACAAACACCACCTACACGTGGAAAATTGAATACGGATAAAAAGGAGTATCGGCTGATACATTCCCGAATTGAAACAGGCACAGAAAATGTATGTTCCCTAACAATAAAAGATAACTATATTATATTTCATTCCTAATCTACTCACAAAAGGCACAAACTTTACAATACATAAAAAGGTACACCAGAAAGTAGTCATCTTAAGACCACATTATCGAACTTCACCTCGAGGAAATCTCCCTTTTCTTTTCATTTGTCCTCTCTAGGTTCACCAGCTGCTCTTTTTCCTGTGCAAAATTGGAATTGTTGTTAAATATGTATGTTTGGATTCGGGACGACAGTGATATGTGTGAATAGAAAAGCAAAGTAAATAGGAAACACGCAGGACTCGGGTTTTATTTGACTTTTTGCCGTAAAACAAGGCAAAAATTTTTTAAGTAAAATGTAGCCAACTGTATAGGTTCTCAAATTATAGCTAAACATTTTTTATAAAGTACGCTATTGTAATTTCCTGTACAAGTATATTTTGTGGTAATTAAGGAATGAAAGATTTATTAATCTGGTGGTATTAGATACATGTAGATAATTAATATTTAATTTCAAAAGTATACTCCATACGAGGCGCTTATGAATTAATAAGTAAGCAATTTAATAATATACGAAAAGTGATAAATAATAGTATCTATATAATTGAGATGTATGTGAATGAGTCCATTCAAACTTTAACTATGTGAGAATAAGTAAAAGGTAAAGACTTAATTTAGTTGTGTTATGTTTTGCGCATCGTATACGTTTTCAATTGTCTCTAAATAATTAATGATCTCTATTCAACTTGTGGACTCTTATATAATGGAGACTTTATGTTAGGGTAATTTATCTTTAAACCAGTATCCCATTAGAAATTTGCCGGAGAACAATATGCATTTTAACGAATGTCATATTGTCTTATTTTATTGTTTTTTTTTTTCGAAAATGTATGCAGACGTATTCGAGGATAGGAATTTACCGACAATACCGTTCCGATAGCATTTTTACGGGCTTAAAAAATGGAAATTTCGGCGACTGTGTAGAGCGATGTTTTAATAGTCTGCTTTGAACAATTCGATTTTCATTGAATTATAATTTCATTTGTGAACTACCCCATTCACACTCATTTAAAAAGGGTATCACATCGGAACCAGTAAACACGATATTCGCACCAAATGCTTCCACTACATAATCCAAAATGAGATATTACGTTGTTGAGCCAAGTATAGAAATGTGAATAATGAAGGTTGCTAAATGCATTAGTTAGAATTATGTAATTACATACAACTTATTCATTATTTCAGAGTCGTTCTGTTGTAAAAGTAGGTACTAATTTTCGAGCTGTAAACACCAATCAAATTTTGTAATATGTTTAACCAGAACGAATTTGTTTGTACGTATGCGACTTTTAACGACAGTCTTTGAACGATTTCTCAATTAATCATTCGATTTTACATCAAACGTTTTACTTAAACTAAATATTATTCGAAGTATATAGGAAGGTAAAACATCGTAAGTACTTCAGTGATGAAATTTTTTCTCAAAGTATAAAATATTTTGCTTTTATTACTTTAATAGTCTATTTATAAAGTAAATTTTTATAGTTATTGGATGAGACTTGTTTTGAAATCAAATAATAACTTTAACTGCAAAGAAATAGGAAACTTATCGTTGTGAGGATTGAGAGTATCAATCCGTTTTAAAGAATCGATTACTTTTGATATATGAGAAGGGAAAAAAGTCACCGAGTTATAAATAGAACTTTTCTGGACGAGCAATAATAAATAATTCTCGAGACTTCATTCGTTTGAGTGAAACAAAGGGAAACATTTGTCTGTATCTTGGTGTATCGAAAGCAATATTTTATCTATTTATGTGAGGAAGAATAGCTGGGATAAAAGATTGACCAGAGTCAATTGGTGTATTCCGAATTATGTGTTTCCGTTCTAAAGCTGTTCTACGCTAAATTAACCAGTCCTATTCCTGATTACATCATCAATCAAAATCAACCACACACTTACAGTTGGGTCAGTTGGGTGAACTGTGAAATATTTCAGAATTGACACTCCCTGTGACGATCGCCGCTGAATTCGAATCGGAAAACTATTTGTTCGAATTATTCCTCAAAGTTTTCCGACAAAAGTTACCACAAAAAACAAACATCGTATGAATAATTAAAACGAATAAGAAAGCGGAAAAAACTAATCTAATTGTGAATTTATGTATGAGCTTTCGAAGCTTTCAGAACTTGTGAACACTTTTTCCATTTAATGATCAATTTTTTTGTTATTTTTTTTTTAGTTTCATTTTGCCACGAAAACATTATACCAATTGGGATATTCGAAATTTAATAACTTGACTTTCGAGGTTTGAAAGAAATTATTCTTAATTCTTGCCATGAAAATTTTTACTCAACAATGCCAGATTTTCACTCTTAGCCAACAGTAAGATGGCTGCGCTACCTCTGGGACGAGCAATTTAGATTTGATGGTGCGTGCGGGCCTCAACCGCAATAAAAAATGTTAAATATTAATTCGGCCTAAAAAGGCCAGAGCAATACCTGTGCGGTGTTATATTACAATAATTTCACGGCCTATTGAATTTGTACCATTTTGAGCGCCATAAGCGCCTTAATTTCATGCTGCCGAGCTTCACTAACCTTTACTCGGCGTAAAGAGGAAACCACTTAGCGCTTCTATCAACAACATGTAATATACTGTGTCCGCATCTGGAGATTTACCAGTCTGCAATATTAAGTAAACAGATTAGTTTATTATCTCGTATTCGATATTAATACTGTTTGTTGGTCAACATTCAACTATAATAATTAACTCAAAGAGATTTAATAATTGTTGGCTACTTATTCGTAACTTCTAAGATTTGTTGAGTAGACTTGAACAAATCTTTTCTTTTAGATGAACAATAATGCGGGAGTATTCGGAATTTAATAAAATGGTGGTAGGAGCGCTAACGTCCTCCATATTTTCTGTTTTTAAAACTGAGTAAAAAATAGATTAAATGTAGTGAAGCTGGCACACTCAAAACTAGTAAATTTAATGTGTCCCCGAGAGCATATTAGAAACCTCAGTTTTAGCTCGAGAGACGTG